GGGATCTGTTGCGATAAGTTCCACGAGTTGTGGTTCAACGTGTAGGGCCACCTTACTCGGTTTGAATTGCAGGAGTATGCTATCGTCATTAGACTGCATGCTGGCTCATTTTCGGAGGGCGATCGATACACAAAAGCATTGGAGAAGAGGAGGCTGAAGGAAAAGTATTTCAAATCGCTGGAGAAGATTTCATGTGCCTAGTTGGAGAAGACCTTTGTTCGTGCGTCGATACCTCGGGCAGATAGATACAAGCTCGGGCTTACTCTGATTGTGGAAGGAGTCATCACTGCTCCGGACAATAATTTTGGCATTGATGAGGATACGTTATCCCTCGTCGATGACTTGGAGCTGTTTTTTTCCTACCCTTGGGCCAAAGTGGGGTATAGGAATTTGTTGAAGGGATTTCGGGATACTTGGGCACCTAAAATGAGCGATGCAATGAGAAGGACGTCAGTTACACAATTCACGGATTTTCGATCGCCATTCAGGTAAGAACAACATTAAGTATATGTTTTTTGTTTGTAAGTATTAGAATAGTTATCTACATTCTTTGGATGGATATTTATGCGACAATTTTTTTGTTTTTGTTCGGACAGATTTGGGCATATGAAGCCGTGCCTGAACTCGACGAACGCTTCGGTCAGCAGGTGGGTGAACGATCGCTCCGACTTCTGTACTGGACATCTACCAAACAACCGCAGCAGCATACGTACGATGCGTTCTTCAGGGATGTACAGGTCATGGACATTTTTCATTTACCTTTCAATTATTTTATTTTTTTGGGAATACTATGCAATATATTTTAACTACCCGTTTTCCCCTGTTTCTACAGCTGCACGTGCACGCCACACTGCGTCCCATGGAGGGCGAGTGTGATCTCCTATACATCACCAGTATGGTGTCATTCTCCGACCGTCCGATGCAATTTTTGGACAACCTCGCCAGGAGTGTTGTCGGGCCATAGTTCCACGAGGCGGCATCGCCCAGTAGGGGACATGACGATAGCACTACGGGTGACGGCCATGACAACGAGTTCGATGCAGAGGCCGAGGACGATGAGACATCCACGAGCGATGACCGTCAGACACCGAAGGACAACGACGACGATGGGTCTAAGGTTGATGAGAGTGGAGACAGCAGTCGCGATACCTCCAGTGAGACCGGTGCTGGTGACACCGAAGACGACGAGGATGCCTCGGGACGACATTCGGGTGTATTACCCACTCTAATGGGTGCCCCGTCCACATCTGGGCTTCAGGCTACACGTGGTGGACCGACTGTGACGAGGGAGGACGTGGAGGGCATGTTCTTGGACCAGGGCATCCTCATCGAGATGAGGTTGTGGACCGTGAAGCTTGAAATGATTCAGCACGTGACCGAGGAGTTTGCCAGACTGAGAGACTTCATATCTAGCTTGGTGCCCCCGTCCGGTGGCACCTCCACTTCTGCTGTAGCTCCTGTCGTGAATGAGCCAAACATTTGGGATGACCCCCACAAAGGTATGAGTCTGTTCTACTGCAACTTCCACTTACAACATGTCTGTAGAGTTGTGCAATTTTTCCTATCCGTTCGCTTACAAATGTATTTTTTTAATTGCCAAATTACTTAGATATAGATATAGGAAACATGGACCTGTGCCCGAATGACGGTAGTCGTCCTTCGCCTATCGGGAACTTGGAGGTGAAACGGTATGTCGGTTGGTTATGTGTAACACATATTTGTATTTGATGTCATCTCATCTCGTAATATGCAACTGTATTCAATTTAAGTCCTTTGGTAATTTTTTTTATTTTCCAACTAGACGGGGAAGGCAGTGACGAATGGAGCCCACATGACGACGACCATGCAGAGGAGGCTGAAATGCAGGAGGTGAACGGTACGTGCATAATTTTTGTATTTTATGTCATCTCATCTCGTGATATGCAAATGTATTCAATTTCATTCCTTGAATAATTTTCTTTTTGTTTTCCAACTAGACTGGGAAGATAGCGACGAATGGAGCTCATAGGACGACGATCATGCAGAGGAGGGTGAAATGCAGGAGGTGAACTATACGTGCGTAATTTTTTTCAACTTCTGTCATCTCATCTCGTGATATGCAAACGTATTCAATTTCACTCCTTCAATATTTTTTTCTTTGTCTTCCAACTAGACGGGGAAGACAAAGACGAACGGAGTCCACAGGACGACGACCATGCAAAGGAGGGTGAAATGCAAGAGGTGAACGGTACGTGCGTAATTTTTGTCAACTTCTGTGATTTGGGTTCTATTACCAATCACTTTCCCATTACGCAAATGATAATTCACATATTATGTTTGTCCATTTCACCCAATTTACTTTCAACTAGACCCAGGAGAGACTGTCCTCACGCTTCCCAGGGACGACAACGAGGAAGCTCCATCAACCCATGACATTAAACGGGTCCATCTTATTCCACGACTTTGTGGCTTCCTTCACACATAACTATTTTACTAAAATTCTGAAATTTTTTACATAGGCGCTGCCACAGAGTTACCGAGACAGGTGACCGTACCAAAAAAAGGAGGCAATGTGGGCAGCACAAACAGGCGGCAATCGACTCGTGTTCGACGTTCTGCACCACCTACCCAGAGTCCATGCACGAGAGGAAGGGCAAAGAGAGTAAAGAAATAAATGAGTTGAAGTAGTCCGGTAAGGTGTGTTATAGTAGTAGATACGTTGTTCGTAACAAGGACATGCTTTTAATTTGGTTAGTTTTATGGACGGATAGGTTTGCTCAGCCATATGCTACACGTTAAACTGTCTTATGTAGAGTACATATCGTTTTGCGATAATAAATGTTTAGTGCAAGTATGGGATGGTATTGCCGCGTGTATGCGTTAATAAAATAATGCATGTATTGGTCATAATATGTGAAACGATTGATCAACATCAAAACTAAAATGATATATCATCATTCTTATACATCTCAGTCATACGTGAAAGGGTTGTTCATTTTTTGGTGATTAGATTGCATGCACGTTTCATATTCCATGGGTGAGTAAATTTTTTGGTTTGTACATTGATTGGATGGATAGTTACGAATATTCTCTGCTGTGTCATTTCACTTTAGCACACACCTGATGCAGGTAGGCTGCAGATTCATTCGGAGGGCTGCTTTTTGAGTTGATCATCTGCGTTCATCGAGGTGTGATGACGAATTTTTGCAGAATGATGAAGAGTACAAACAAAATGAAGCTGAGGTTAAATTAAGAGGTGTAGTGATTAGCACCAAAAAACAGGCAAAGGGACCCAAACCTGGGTTCATGCCTAAAGGTACAACTGTGGAGACTATTACTCCTATTCCATATGATTTGGTTAATGATCTCGGGTTATTAGATTACTTCAATTCCATATTAGGATATGGTTAAGTGGAAGGGACATTGAGACAGGACATTTGTTTGTACTCTAATTAAATTGATGTTCATGCTACTTGGTGAAGTAGTAGTATTTTGTACTTTAATTTCATTGGAGTTGAAGGTGTTATACCTGTACAAATGAATCATGGTATCTAATGATTTTGTGTGTAATGGAGCGTGGTCGAAGGATCGAGGACAATGATTATTTTAAAATTCGCTTTACCGTAGTACGAATAATTCTTTGTTATCTTTGCAACGTTGGCCCCAACATTATTTCAACATGCGTTTTAGTATAAATTAGCTTGTTCATACAAATTATAATTTATTTGATCAATGGCTTGTTGTGTCACCCAATATTCATCTTAATTGGCAGGGACATTCATTTTATCAATTTTTAATGCAATTCATATGATTTGGAATTTAAAAATTGTATTCAATTATGACTAAGGACTACAAAAATTCAGTAAAGTAATTTAACGTCCAAATTGATTGTCAATCCAGCTGCAGGAATGTTGCCATTGTAGGTCTTGCACATGGGTACAATTTACTCATAATTCTCACCATTTATGGAGAGAGCCTAGAGGTGAAAGTATACTTACACCCTAAACCATCACATCAATGGTTAGTCAAGTGTTAAGTAGAAATGAAATGGTGGTTAGTTGGTAAATTGTTTTAAATGTCCTCAAATACCTCCAGTATATAGCATGGCTTACACTCTTGAAGTGGGATACATGAGACTCTTTGTGAGGCATATTGTAGCAGGACGTATCATAATATTTCAAGTCTGTTTCTTCATATCAAAACATTGGCATCGTCCACTGGAAGCAATTCACCGCTGCCAGTTGAGGAGCCTTTGCCAAAACTGTCCCATCGTAATTTCTTCAGACGATAAGGAAGTGAGTTCGAATGGTGGTAGGAGAGCCATCATTGTCGTTCCTTTTCCGAACCTGGACGAAGTTGCAAGTGATGCAAGTGAGTCTCCGAGAAATGTTCTTGAATGGGTCGTCCCATTTATGGATGCAGACGAAATTGAACGTCATGAGGATGAGGGGCAGGGTCGCGTTCCATCACCCGAGGTAATTGTCATCAGCTCAAATGATTCGGATGATGACGGTGGGGAAGAAGGTTCAAGTGTTAGTTCCGAGTGAAGAATCCGATTTTGTTATGTGTGTGGGTTTCTACGTTATATATATATATAGTTTTTTTTGTAAGGGGTAGATTTTGTTACGTATATACCAATTCTGTAGCATGTAGGAAACTTCCGTTGGCATGTTAGTGTTTTGTATTTTGTTAAGTGGACCGTTGAACAACTATCGAGAATGGCAGGTACCATCTGTTGGGAACGACGGATGAACTGTCGGGGTTTACTGGCAAAATTTTTGTGTCCGTAGTATGCATATGAATTATAACATGTATTTTGGGTGAACGAACACAACCTCATGTGTACATTAGTGTTATGCGCTAAAAATGATGCGTTCGTAATATGCATATGAAAGGAAACATGTATTTTGGTTGAACGTTTCATATTCCGTACATTCAATTTACATGTGTCAACAATGGAAACAATATTATGCACAACAAAATTGTAGTTTGGTTCGAGGGTATTATGCAGTACGTTGTGCCTATTTGTGTACTGTAATTGTGAACATAAGAAAGAGTACTGTTTATGCATAAGAGAATGAAAACAGTAATACAATATTTACATTGTCATATACAAACGATATTGGGGGAACACTTAACTTACAACTTCAACCACTCACGTACAAATTGCTGTTTACATCGGACGTGGTACAGTGTGGTTCGAACATGTAGTCCGGTTATGACCAAGTCCATCGCAGCAAGTACATTTCCTGAGTTGTGTGGTACACTCGTATTTGGATCACTTACGTCGTGTCGGTAGTCTACCTGGAGGACGACGTACACTGGAGGGCATAATAGGAGTACCTGTAATTTCGGTTGGAACAATCCAGTCCACTTCACGCAAAACAGGATATATAGCTTCTCTATAAGCACCCTTCCAGTACTCGGATGTGTAATATGGTGAACAGAGATCGTACAATGACTTACCTATCAAGCAAGCAGCACGGGTTGCATGAACGCACAACATACGATTCAGTTGGAACTCACGACAAGTGCACGTATTTTCGGAGAAGTCTACCATGTCCGTATCGTTGGATATTCCAACTTGTGTTAAGTTATCAGTCAAGCCATGCGCTCGCAGCGTAGTACCTGCTTCGAACGTCGTCCGTAACTCATTCTCCATCGTTGGTGACAGTACGGTACTGCATACAGTTGCACTGGCTCGACGTTCATAAAACCACTTCTGCATAGTATGCCGAATGTATTCCACTAAGCACGTGATCGGTAATAAACAGGCATGTCTCAACATTGAGTTCAAAAATTCTGCGTTGTTGTTGATCAAAATGTTGTACCATTGGCCAACAAATAGTGCTCGTGACCAAAATGGGAAACCTGCTCTCTCCAAGTACCTGTACGCTCTTGCACTTACACTACGAAGCTGTCCCATAAGACTTTCAAACTTTTCGGTCTGGTAAGTTCTTGCGGCTCTTTTGAATAGAAGTATTGAACTTGCGTTGTTGTACTGCCGGATTAAATTCTTTTCCATATGCCAAACACAGCACCCGTGGTGAGCCCGAGGAAATAGGTGGGCAATGGCGTTTTCAATACTATTTTTCCCGTCGAAAACAAACACCAATTCGTCCGAGTCACCTACAAGATCTTTCAAATTTGATAAAAAACCACATCCACGATCTATTCGTTTCGGCATCAACGATCCCCCACGCTAACGGATAAATCTGTTTGTTGACGTTTTGGACAGTTGCGAGTAGAATGGTACCTTTCTACGGACCTTTCAAGTGACTGCCGTCAACACAAATAACAAGCCTCAGATAGTGCACATAACCCCGAATGCTTGCACCGAAAGCTAGGAAAAAATAGTCAAACCTCTTATGATAATCTAGTTCGATGTGTGTTACTGTCTCTCAATTACTCTCTCCTAGGACATGACAGTACGAAGAAAGTTTTTGAAAACTATCACCCGGTGTACCATGTAACATATGTAAAGCAGTGACATTCCCCCTACGTGCTTGATGGTAACTAATTTTCACACCAAACTCACGTTCCATGTCACGTGCAATAGCGGTAGGATCATACAATCCGTACGTATTATCTAATTTCCCCATAATCTGTTCGACAATTACAGAACTAGTGGTATGTCGATGTGTATTACGACGATAATCTATGGAACATGTGTGCACATTGTTGAATTTGCAGATCATGAAGATGGCGGACTACTTGACACTCGAAGCACGTAACATCCACTTGCAATTATCGTCCGTGCATACAACGGTTAACATTTTTAGGCTTGACCTGCTAACCTAAAATTGAAACTTCTCTTACAAAGAAAATAGACGAATTCTCGAGTACAACTCTTTCTTGGTAAAAAATATTTGCCTTTCGATAAGATCCGACGTATTCACAGTGGAAATCCAGTCGCATGTATCCGGACTATTGGAATGTGATAATAGGTCTTCGTCAACTCAGCAATATTACCAGTATTTGTACCATGTAAGGGGTTGTCGATCATCTCATCTAATGGTGCAGTCCTAACATCGAAAATTGGAGTATCCACTGCGTTATTGTTTGGGACACTGTGCTGATGATTGAGCTCGTCGTCCTATACGGTTTGGTGATCTTCCGCTGCGACGAACAATTGTTGGCTATAATTTGTGTCCCTCTCCATTTCAACACTTGGCAGACCGGTTTTCAAAGTCGTAACACAGAGGGCAGTTTCCTTATGAACTGATATGTATCAATTTACGTCTTCATCTTCGAGTATTTCGGCCGGCGGTATATTCATGTTCGGAACTTTGAACTTCAATTCCATTTTTGTTCACGGATCGAGAACACCAAGTTTCTCGTTCAATCGTAACAATAGCCCCGATAGTGTAATACTGCTGGGCACTAAAATGGAAGTGGTTTTGTCCCCAATCCACTTCCATTCGTCATTCACGTGAACGAACTTTCTCCCAAGCGACATGATGAATTTCAAATTATTGTTCATACTTGAAATGTTGGGATTGCAAATATAAGAATTCTGTGCAATCAATATGTCGATTCTATAATAGCATGGAAGTGACACGTTCGAATATTTAAACATATGCAATAGTACAAGGTCAAATGAAGGATGTCAAGAATTTTGAGCTATGCAATTCGATAGTTTAGTTATCTATCCCGACAGTTTATAAATGTCAAGTTCGACAATTAAAATGTCGAGTTCGACAGTTCAACTGTCGGAACTGCCGAAAAGCTTTAAATGTGTTTGGTAGCATTAATACTTATAATCATTTATCAACTACAAAATCACAACCTATTTCCAGAAATAAATGACTGAATGCTTCATTAAATATGGAATACTTAACATTTTTCTAAATATTTTTGGTATATTTTTCAATCAAAAATATTAAAAATATAAGACTATGATGATTAATAGTAGTGATTACCATGTTGTTTTTAACATTTTAAAAAGAGTAAGCTATTACATAAAAATATAAACAATTCGTAATAACTGACCTTTCAAGATAGATGAAAAAGATGGATGAAGTAAAATCTTCTTGATGAAGAAGAAAATGGATAAAGAAGATGAATGAAATAAGGGTTTATTTAACAAGAAATTTGTTTTTTTATGTTAACTAGGGTTTTGAAGAATTTTATATTCATTTTTTATTAACTAAATTCGTATTTTACAATATAATATTCCTATATTCAATGATTATAATACACATATTAAACAATCAAATCACAACATTAATTGTTTTGAAAAACAATCATGAAGGAGCATTAAATTCTCAAAAAAATGTCAAATTAAGGGTAATTTAGACATTTGACAATAAGAAAGTGACATTTTTGTACAAATTGTGTGCACATCAAAGTTTTTTGTGCATTTTCAAAAAAGTGATATTTTGGTAAATTCACCTATTTATAATTCATTAAGATAAACTATAAAATCCATGAATAGAGGAAAAAGCCCTGGCCGAATTAGACAATAATTATTTGTGAAATCCTAATAATTTTGTTTCATAACAAAACGGTAGAACTGTTGAGTCCTTGACATAGTCGTCAAGAAAATATAAAAATTCCTCCACAACCAATGGTCTTGTAGAAACCACGTCATGTTATGTCAAAAATTACAAATTTATCCTATTAAGATAGTCTTTAAATTTATTTTTGTCTTATTTATGTGTCTTTTATAACATTTATCTACTAATAATATGCTACAATCATCTCTTCCGTCTATCCCAACTTCCAAATATTGTTTTCTTTCAACTAAAATACATGTAATTGTAGTCTGTAGAAGTGCGCAACATCAAACAAAAGGCGAAGTAACATGAGATCTATGATGTGGACTGATCAAACTAGCCAATAAAATGTTTTAGAAAAATTTTGTGTGTACAAATTTTTTTTTTTTTCACGGAATGTTGCTAGAAGTCTCATTGTAGCGCGGGCCCCATGTTTGATATAATATTCCCAAAAATCAACCACCCACCCCACTATGTATCTTTTCTGTATCTCTTCTGTACATCCATATTTGTACGTGGAGCTCAATGTTTTGACTTTAAAAGAAGCACTTCACAAAGATGGTCAGAATTTGATTGGCCCTGGCTCACCCTTCAAAAGACCAATCAAGTGCAAGCGTGCGACACAAATTCTTCAAAATTGGGTTTATAATAGCAAGTTGGCACTTTCAACTTTGATAAATGAATAATAATATTTATAGTTAGCGACTCTAATAGTCATTTTATGTGACAAATTATTATTTGAAACATTAATTTCCTATATTGTCCCGGATAGCAAACTAATGTCTCAAAATAACAAACTAATGCTTAGGATGAATACTTCATTTGCTAACCAAGTGAATTCATAAACATTTGAAATATAATGTCCATGACGGGGACTTTATATTCTTACCCAGTGGTCGAATGAACTTTGACGCATTATGGTGTCTAGTTTAATATAGAAGTTCTTATCGTTCTTAATATGATACATACGAATCATTTGTCTTTCTAAAATCGTCAATTCTAATTTAAAAACATATATATATTTTTCATTATTTTCATTTCTTTAGTACTATGATAATCATGCAACTTTGGAGTCAATAGGCTACACGATTCTAGTCATAATCCTTGCAAGGCATTCATCCTCCAAGTGTCAAATCTTCTTGATAAATCTAAATATCAAGTACTTATTTTTAAATTCGTTACAAATTTAATTAATTTGATCAAACTTTAATTTTTTAACAATACAATTAATAAAGTTCAAAATTTTTATCAACTTTTAATCATATATTTTATTTTAATTTTTTTATCAAAACCTATAAAACTTTTATTAAAATGTTTATCACGTCCTAAATATTATTCAAATTGCGAACTCTAGAATGATTAAGTTACTATGTGCTTGTTTGACAAAATTTATTAAATTTTTCAATTAGTCAAATTTTAATTTTAACCACCAATTTTAGAAATCCACGACTTTTATCATGTTTCAACCACACAATTAATTAATTTTTATAACAAAATTGTCTAAACTTTTATTTAAAAAAAAAACACTTTTGTCAAATAAACAAATCATTTAACAGAAAGTTTATTATAAAAAATCATAAGAAATTTTATAATTTTTCCAAAATACAGGGTTGGAATCCTAAAAGAATTCATCATTACATAAACAAACCAATGAGCGCCCACTGGTAAAACCCAAACTCATAATCCCGTTTCTGTTTGATCTTCACTTTTATGGTTGTGAGAACCACAACCCCCACACCACAGTGCCGGCGAAGACACTGAGGCGGTCGCCGACGGTACCAATGCTACATTTCCGGCTAATTCACCACGTCGTGAAGATCTCCGGCCTCGGCTTCTCTGGTTGCCTCAAGGACTGTACGGACCTGGCCCATAGAGTCTCACTCTTAACTCATTTGCTTGAAGAAATTGGGGATTCGAAGAAAACCCATAAATATCATGAAACTTCTTTAAATTCTTGCTTCTCTGATCTCTCACTGGCTCTTCAGGCTGCTATAAGGCTCCTCTTTGCTGCTAACAACTTCGAAGATTCCAAGATTTCCTCTGTATGTATATATAATAATGTGCTGTGAGGCTTCCTTTTCTTTTTTCTTTTTTTTTTTCTTTTTTTTTCCAGTTAAGATGTGTGTGTACATGGCCTAATTGGTACATTGCACTGTTTAACTGGAGTGGATGAATCGAAATCCCTGTCTCTAGATTGGGATTGGTATCGATTATTATATAGTGTCTCTTTGACTGATCAAGAATGTTAACCGTGGCTATATATAATGTTAGATAATTTCTGCAGCTCTGATCTTGTTGAGTTTAATACCAAAAATAAGATTTTATTATTCCTGTATCAATTACACACACCACCATCTCACTAAATTAATATATAACAAAGTAGCCCCTGGGGCACAGCTCAACTGGTGGATCAATCAACATTGTCTTGTTTCTAGCGGCAAGGTGGATAGTTCGATTTCTGGTGGGAACCTGCGGCCAAATATTTGGTATGCAGCAATCACTGTGGAGAAGAGTCTCTTGTGCGCAGAAGTGTATAGCCAATGAGGGAACCTGTGATTCAATTGAAGCATAATACGCGATTTACCCCCTCTAAGGTTCTAGGGGCAAGGGTCTTGGGGGTTCAGAATTTAGTCTGGTATAAGTTGGGATACCTGGATATAAATAAAATATATATATATATATATATATATATATATAACAAAGTCATGCCCGGGTGTCAAGGACCGCAGCTTTACTTAGCCCCTTGACACTATCGCAGCCTCAGTTTATCCAACTTCGGTCGCACATTGTAAATATTACTTCAAGTTTGAGTTGTAATTTTCGTTTCATTGTAATAGTTATTTTAATTGTAAAATAGCTCTGATATTGGTAAAAGATTAGTATGATTCCTCGGCTTTTAAACGTCTACTCCCGTCACTTGGGTTTTTGTTCAGAATGCTATTATAGGGGGTATTAGTCATTCAAAAATCTTTCAAGCTCACTGGTGTCCGCC